TTTTTCAGGGCAAGGACCCAAGCCTTCCCTGGTATTCCGTCCGGTCCAGGGGCAGTGTTTTTCGCCTGCAGGCGAAGGATGGCTGCCCCCAATTCACCCTCCGTAACCTCAGGTGCCTCGTCTCCACTGACTCCTTCCGAGCTAAAGCACACTGGAGGAACCCATTCCTCTCTTGCTGGAAACAAGGCCTCAACCACATTGCTCAGTAGACCAGGATCCATGGTGGTGGTAAGCGGGGGAGTCCACGGGCGCAGCTTGCTCATAACAAGCCGATATGGTCTCCCCCACGGATCCTGGTTTAGGGTGGAGAGGAGCTCCTCCCAGGCAGCGTTTTTCGCCGCCCCAATCGCACCCCTGAGCGCCTTTTTGGCCTCCTGATAAACCGCATACAGCGGACCGTCCTGACTCTCGTCCCGGTTTCGTCGCCTGCGGTGTCGAGAATAGCAGCGCCTTGTGGCTACACACGCCTCTCTTAGTCGAGCCAGTTCTGGAGACCACCAGTGCACTGCTGTGCGAGGCGGCAGCACCCTTACTCTGGGCATCGCCGCGTCGCACACGTGCGACATGGCCTCCCTGAACCACTCAACTTCGCGGCCTGGCTCTGCTCCATCTGACCACGGCGACCAGCTCTCTACCAGTGCTGCTATTGCCAGTGTGTCGCGGTCTAGGCCTGCCTGGAAGGTCAGGACCAGTTTCAACCACTAATTAGGCTCACTTTTAGCTAGGTCTACGGACCAAATCGCCGGATTGAATTTTTAAATATTTTCTTCTTCCGGCAACCAGTTTCCGGAGCTACAAAGATGGTTCTGGGCCCACCTTCAATGTTTTTGTTAATAAATTAAACACCAAATCAACAAAAATCCAATCTATAATCTTAGAGTGAGTCCAGTTGCCGGAAGAATAAATAAATTGAAAATTCAATCTGGCGACTTGGTCAATTGGTTGATAAATCTAAAAGGGTGGCCCCCTTTTAGATTGATCCACGGACCAAGTCGCCAGATTGATTGAGTCACTGGTAGACTCAAAATTTATTCTTCAGTCATTTTTTACATTAATAAGTTTTTAAAAACTGCCTACAAGTCGAATTTAAACGCACTTTTGTTACTGTGTGCAACAAGGGCGTAGCGCCACTTGTGACAAATGAATCTCACGCCATCAGGGAACGGCTGATCGAAACGTGTTTTTGGGATGTGAAACTAGATGGTACAGTGCATGTTTTGATCAAAACGGGCTTTGGGTACCGAACGCCCTTGTTGCTCCCAATGCTTCTTTACCGTATGAAAATGTATCAGAGTATTAATAGATTACGCTATATTTCGCAAGTGTTGTTTACTGTTTAAGATAATTCAGTTAGGATTTTATAAAGCGCTTTACACATTTTTGTGTAGATTTAACTCTACAGCGACTTTGAAATCATAATTGAGCCAGCTGCTGAGACTAAGCAGCGCCAGAGGGTTTCTGGCGCTGCTTAGTCTCAGCAGCTGGCACTATTTTTAGCATCATTCCCAAGGAGCTTCATAATAATAACATTATCGATGCGAGCTGTTGTTGAATATTCTCACATTTTGGTTTTTGATATAATCTTCTACTTTATATTATAACGTGGTTCTATAATATGATATGACATGCTAACAGTGGGTCTATGTTATTCTTTGGTAATTTTACCAAGTGGTCATTGTTGTATACTCGATACATACTTTATGATATCTTTGATGCTTTATGATATCTTTGGTATTAGACCATAACTTTATATTGTCTGTGGATTCATCACTCTCTTCCTCTTGGGAAATGTCGGCTTGTATTACGTGTGCTTTAGAAATAAACCGAAAGTACAAAGAATACTCTTTTTATTCATATATAACATGGTGTCAGGTGTTAAACAATACACCAGGAAGCAACCCTCAAGTGGGAAACAAGAATTACTACAGTGTTACGAAGATACGGCGTATTACAAAAACTGACCTCGCGGCGTGCCCTACAACCAAACATGGAGGCCCTACAACCGCCAAGAAACTTGCTTATTTCGGGACGAAATAACAACTGGAAACAATTCAGACAAATGTTTCTGTTGTATCTCGAGGCGATTGGACTTTCAACGGCGACAGAGTCAAGGAAAATAGCAATATTTCTTAATTGCGCTGGAACGGAAGGCGTGGAGATCTACAATGCCGCCAAGAGCAAAGATGGAGACCAACCTAAAGTGGAAGAAACATTGGACGACGTATTGGAGCTGTTTGACAATTANGGCTGCCGGGGGCGCCTTAGAGGCTTTCCCCTTCTTCTGCTTCCTCTTTTTGCCTTTCTTGGCTTCTCCGGTCTTTGGGTTGGAGGAGACCGAAGGCGGCTGGTCTGCGACCCTCTCGGTTGCGCCTCTTGCCGCTTGTTTTGTCGCCGCCGGGTTGCTGACAGAAGGCTGTAAAGGGGCCTCCTCTCGTCGCTTTTCGAAGCTTAAAGGCGGGCGAAGCCTGGGCTCGGGGTTCAGGCGCGGCTCCAGCCCTTCCACTCGGGCATTGATCCGCGCCGTCATCACACCCATGATCTTCGCCGCCCACTCCTCCATATTGGAGGGTGTCGTCTCTTCCTGGGTCTCCTTAGTGGGGGCTTTCGCCCGGAGTTGGGCCTTAAGTTCTCCCATCTCTCTCTTCATTTCGTCTATTTCGGCCCTCAGGACGTCGTTCTGTGCTTGAAGGTCGTGCACTTCTTCGGACACAGTGCGGCTAGCGAGGATGTTGGTAGCCGCACTGATGATAACGACGGCCTCTTTGAGGGCCGCCTGCATAGGGCCCTGTAAATGCCCCGACTTCTTATTTACCTTCTGGACGAGCGCCAGCCCGGTTTGCACGCGCTTCAGCAACCCGTCCACGGTCTCATTCTCTTCCATGGCTTGCTTCACAGCAAGCCTTGTCTCGGTGCTGTTCCTAGAGGACCGCGCCTTTGCCGTCAACTCGGAGATCTCTTTTTCGGCCTCGATCTGGAGTTCTTTCTTCTCCTGCTGTTTCTTAACCTTTCGGAAGGCCTCCTGAAACTTCGCTTTGCCGACGTATTCGCCCGTTGTAGGCGGCCTCCCTCGGCCACGACGGGCACGTCCAGTCGGCACTTTCGGTTCCGGGGCTTCCTCTTCCTTCCCGTCGGAGTCTGAGGTAGCGCCGCTACCATGGCAGCGCTTCCTGCTCCAAAACCTGGACTTGTCACTGCGGTGAGAGTCCGCAGACCTCATCGAGACGGCAGACGAGTCCGACTCGATGTCAATGCGTTCCAACGAGACACGTGGCTCGCGGAGCTGCATGATGTTATGCAGCTTGTTGCTGCTGGACTTCGCCTCGTCTTCCTTCGTATCTACACTATGTACAGTTCCTTCCTTTACACTATTTACAACAATGCCTGCGGTTTCAGGCGCAGTGCCTTCCTCTCCCACACATCTATTTACACTATATGTACACTCCTCCTCACGTTCCAACAACTTGGCAGCCTCGTCCAGTAAAACAATTGGCCTGTATGCCGACGGGGAGTCCACTGGCCGACCTTCTTTCCTCAGCAGTACGAGTTTCCCCGTTTTCCATTTCCGAGGGAAATGGCCTCGTCTTAGGCAGGTTGTGAGGAGTTCCCTAAACCGGGGCTCCAACCCGTTTTTCAGGGCAAGGACCCAAGCCTTCCCTGGTATTCCGTCCGGTCCAGGGGCAGTGTTTTTCGCCTGAAGGCGAAGTATGGCTGCCCCCAATTCACCCTCCGTGACCTCAGGTGCCTCGTCTCCACTGACTCCTTCCGAGCTGAAGCACACTGGAGGAACCCATTCCTCTCTTGCTGGAAACAAGGCCTCAACCACATTGCTCAGTAGACCAGGATCCATGGTGGTGGTAAGCGGGGGAGTCCACGGGCGCAGCTTGCTCATAACAAGCCGATATGGTCTCCCCCACGGATCCTGGTTTAGGGTGGAGAGGAGCTCCTCCCAGGCAGCGTTTTTCGCCGCCCCAATCGCACCCCTGAGCGCCTTTTTGGCCTCCTGATAGACCGCATACAGCGGACTGTCCTGACTCTCGTCCCGGTTTCTTCGCCTGCGGTGTCGAGAATAACAGCGCCGTGCGGCTACACACGCCTCTCTTAGTCGAGCCAGTTCTGGAGACCACCAGTGCACTGCTGTGCGAGGCGGCAGCACCCTTACTCTGGGCATCGCCGCATCGCACACGTGCGACATGGCCTCCCTGAACCACTCAACTTCGCGGCCTGGCTCTGCTCCATCTGACCACGGCGACCAGCTCTCTACCAGTGCTGCTATTGCCAGTGTGTCGCGGTCTAGGCGCTTCAGCGCCCACCGCGGACCAATCTCTTCCGGGGCTCGATTTGTGCTACTCGGGGGGACCTGGAAGGGGGGAGAGATGTCGAAACGCACATATCTGTGGTCCGACAGAGTCTCAACCCCCTCCATCACCTCCCAGGTCTGGACACGGCGCGCTAGAGCAGGGCTCGCGAACGTAATGTCCACAACGGAGCCGCCCTGCATTCGCACGCATGTGTCAACCGTTCCCCGGTTCACCACTACCAGTCCGTGCGATACCAACCAGTCCTCCACTAGTTCCCCACGAATATCCGTCACACGGGAGCCCCACGATTGCGATTTCGAGTTGAGGTCTCCGGCCACCAACACTTCGTGGGGACGACCCCACCCAGTCAGCAGAGTACCGGCCTCTGCTAGGAACGTCTCGAATTCGGCGACAGAGCGATTCGGAGAGAAATAACCCCCCACTATCACAATGTCGCCTACCAGAGCGGCGACGCATCCCCGGCCCCTCCGGATCTTACTGAAGGGTAAGGAATCCGCTGCTGGGTTGGTGATCACTGCGACTTTGTCCTCCAGGTCGCCGGCCCAATCATCCCTCTCGTGCACGTAATAAGGCTCTGTCACCACACATACGTGTGTCATCCACTGTGCCATGCTCTGGTGTAGAAGATCCTGAGCTCTGGCACAGTGATTGACGTTCGCCAACAAGAACCTTTGAGCCATACTAATCGCCGGTCATCTGAACTTCCTCGTGCCCCGGTGCGGGCTGGGATGACATTGGCTGGCTCTTCCTAGCACTTGCCGCTGCCCTCCTTCCAATCTTAGTGGCAGGAGCCTTGCAGGCTTTACTGCCTACTCGATGCCCCGCCGGTCTGTCTGTCGTCGCGCAGAGTGAGCAGTGAGGGTCATTGCTACATTGTGCTGCGATGTGTCCTAGCTGGCCACACCTGAAGCACTGCCGACTGCGGTCCACCTGTGCCGGGCATACTGCTTGGACGTGCCCCGCTTCGAGGCATCGGAAACACCTCAGATCCCTATTCGGTAACAGTCTTACTCTGGCGGCAACCCAGCCGACAAGAAGACGACCCTCCAGCACGCTCTTAGCAGCCGCCGTGGGACACCGAACGTACACCGCCAACAACCCAGTGTGATCGCGGCGAGGGGTCCCGACCTTCACATTATCCACTGAGCAATCTCCCAGCTTTGCCACAGCGGCTGCCACTTCCTCCGCCGTGACTGAGTCGTCCAGGCCCGATACCCTGATCTCCGAGCACTTTACGGGCCTAGATACCCGCACCTCGTCGTCTTTAAAGATGCCCTTAAGTCTGTCAGCCAGGGCGTCTGCTTTACCATCACTAGTGGCCCCGGGAACCTCGATAATTGTGGCCCCGGTGATGGCCCTACGGAAGCGCACGGCTTCAATGCCAAGCTCTCCGATGTCGATACGCCTCTTGGCTTCTCCAATCGCCTTTTCGTACGTAACGCCCTTCTCGGTCGCTCCAGGCTGTATAGACAGCACAACAGCGGCTGATCTGGGCGGGCGCGTTTTGATCTGGGCGGGTTGAGCCGTCCTTTTCGGGCCCTTAGAGGGCGCCTTTTTCCCCTTATCTCCGTTCGTCTTTCCCTTCTTGACGACAGTGCTCCAGCCCTCGCTCATAGAGGCTGGCGCAGGTGGTAGCGTGCGGGGAACGGGTGGAGCAGTCTCTACTGGGACTACTTCTGCCTTCTTGTTTTTCTTCCCCTTCTTCTTCCTGGTCTTGCCCTTCGGGGCCTCGTTAGCCCTTGGGGCAGGTATGTTTTGCGCAGCCGGAGGAGAGCGCCTTTTCTCCGTTTCTCTTGGCGTTTCCGGTTGCGTGTGTGACGTCACAATTTGAGGGGGAGGCTGTAGAGGGGCCTCCTTTTGCCGTCTTTCAAATGCCAGGGCCGGGCGAAGCCTCGGCTCTGGGTTCAGGCGCGATTCGAGCCCTTCAATTCGGGCGTTGATCCGCGCCGTTGTCACGCTGAGAATATGGGACGCCAACTCTTCCATATTGCAGGGGGGCGTCTCATTCAAGGTCACATTTGTTGGGGCTTTCGCCCGGAGTCGGGCCTTTAACTCGGCCATTTCCTTCCTCATCTCATCTATTTCGGCCCTCAGGACATCATTCTGGGCCTGAAGGTCGTGGATCTCCTCCGTTACCGTGCGGGTGGCCAGGGTGTTAGTAGCCGCCCTAATCATTACTACTGCCTCTTTTAGAGCAGCTTGCATCGGACCTTGGAGACGGCCCGACTTCTTCTCCACCTTTTGTACGAGATCGATCCCGGTCTGCACACGTTTCAGCAGGCCGTCTATCGTCTCATTTTCCTCAATCGCCTGTTTAGTGGCAATCCTGACTTCCGCGCTGGTTCTGGTTGACCGCGCCTGAGCCGTCAGGTCCACGATCTCCTTCTCGGCTGCAAGCCGAAGCTCCTCCCGTTCTAGTTCGGACTTGGCCTTTCTGAACGCCGCTTGTGCTTTGGCTTTGCCAACATACTCGCCTGTACTTGGCGGCCGGCCCCGGCCTCGAGACGCTTTCCCCGCCGACACTTTTCGGTCTGGGGCGCTCTCATCTTTCTCGGAATCCGAAGCGGCAGTATTCCTCTCCCAACTTCGTTTCCGGCTCCAGAACTTCTTCCGGGCACACTCGCTTCCCGAGCCAGATCCCACCGAGTGCATGGACACCGCTGATGCTGAGTCCGACTCGATGTCGATGCGTTCCAACGAGACACGTGCCACGCGGAGCTGCATGATGTTTTGCAGCTTGTCGCTGCTAGGCTTCGCACCATCTTCCTTCATATCTACACTATGTACAGTTCCTTCCTTTACACTATTTACAACAATGCCTGCATTTTCAGGCGCAGTGTTTTCCTCTCCCACACATATTATGTATACCTGGGACAAACAGTCCAGTTAGGTAGGTCCAACTTCGAGAAAGAGGTTAATCGTCGAATCCAACTCGGCTGGGCAGCGTTCGGGAAGCTTCGCGAAATTCTCACGTCCGAAATACCGCAGTGTCTCAAGTCAAAAGTATTTGACCAGTGTGTGTTGCCAGTGATGGTGTATGGCTCTGAGACGTGGTCGCTTACTATGGGCCTCATAAGAAGGCTCAAGGTCACCCAAAGAGCGATGGAGCGTGCTATGCTCGGAGTTTCCCTGCGTGATCGAATCAGAAATGAGGAGATCCGTAGGAGAACCAGAGTGACTGACATAGCCCGCAGAATCGCTAAAATCAAGTGGCAGTGGGCGGGGCACATAGCTCGAAGAGATGATGGCCGCTGGGGCAGAAAAGTTCTTGAGTGGCGACCACGAGCTGGAAGACGTAGCGTGGGCAGGCCTCCCACTAGGTGGACCGACGATCTGGTGAAGGTCGCGGGAAGTACCTGGATGCAAGCGGCGCAGGACCGGTCTTTGTGGAAATCCTTGGGGGAGGCCTTTGTCCAGCAGTGGACGTCTTTCGGCTGAAACGACGACGACGAGATTCCGTACCATTGATTCATTCGGCTGATTTACATAACCATACGTTACTCCATTGACCCACTAAGCCCACCTGAGGTCATTGCTGCCCACAGCTGGCATGGGTAATTAATTAATCTGTTACTAACAATGGTTTGTTATAATTGTAGATGAATGAGGGTTACGGTCGGATGTATTGATGTATTGCTGCTTCCTTGATGCTGATGATTTGGAATTGATTGATGGTAAAGAGATAGCTATTGTTAAAAGTTATTATTCTGCACTTTGTTGCATGATCCTCTTGGTGTGTGTGAATGATGCTCTAAAGTTTAAGTTTTAACTGGATGTGATGACACGACATGCTAAGCTCTTTCAAGGTCATCATTTTGATTCTTGAACCTACAGGCCACAAGATCTTACGGCTATAAAAGGTCGTGCTGTGCTGGTCAGGTCAGCTGATCAGTTCGAAGCTCGTCGAGAGGCTAACGAAAAGAAAGAGATAGGTAAATCATGTTTTGACGGCTTCTGTTAGCCAAATTCTAGGCCTAATTTTCAGTGGTAACGTAATCTTGTATCACGGTTTTCCATTTAGGGACTATGATTGTTTTATATGTTTCGCAAGCCTCCTGCTCTTTTTTCTTTTCTTCACCACTTTTCACTTTACCATGAACTGTTCTTATTTTCTCAAAAATGCATATTCCAAACGATACCGTTTTTGAAGTAGGCTGTTGAGGATTCGTTTTGGTCAGCAGATAAATAAAACTAACCGCTAGCTGAACTGTAAAGGCAAATACCATTTGGGTGTGCGGATAGCTGCTAGCGGACACTCAATGCCGTGAGTGTGGGCTGAATTGACATTCTTCTCACGTTCAGTCGTGGTACAAGGTATAGACTTTCCTTCTTTTATTAAAATATCTAAAAACGCAAATAAATTGTACTTGAAATAGGAATTTATTAATGCTAATATCACTGTATACTTCTTTTTTATTCACAAAGAAGACGCTCTTAGCCTGCATCTCACCTGATGGAAAGTGATCATTAGGCTGATAAGGTGGAAGCGAGTTTTACCCTGAATCCTAGAGGAGAAACCATAGAGGAACTTATTTGTTGTTATAGCGACATACTTAGGTAAGATGGTGGTAGAGTCGGGCGGACTTAGAACAAGCTCTACCACCAACCGGGCTTTTAAACCAAAAAAAAATAAATTAACCGCTTTTCCATCCACTCTTGTACCGCTACGTTACACGGCGGACAGACGAACTGTCGCGAGGACAATAGAAAACTGACGACATTAGAACAGAATTTACATTGCTAATACAGGAAAACGCGATAATACATACTAAACAGGATTTAGTTACATTTTAGTTTAAAAAACATGCTTTTAGCGCAACGAATTGACTGCTTCGAAAATAATGATAATTTTATTTAAAATCGAATGTCTCACTCTCAAACTTACCTTTACTAATCATGAAAGTAATTGTTTGTCCAAATTAACAACAGTTCGGTTGTTTGTTTGTTTCATTAACTGATAATTTCAATTAAACAAAAACTTAATTTAACCCTAACGCAATTAGTTTTAAATTAACTGTAATTAACTTTTAAGTCACTTTGCATAATCAATTTTAGCTAAACTTCTGAAGTTGTATATGACACAATGATCAGCCATCAATGATGATGAAGCACATGACGTAATGCGAGTTTAACATGAATGTTACACATATTTTTTATGCCCAAAAATTAACAAGACGTCCATTCAGCTCGTATTCGACCTTGACGGAGTCGTTGAAGTTTTTGTGCATTGGCCAAACACCTGATGACGTTATGAAAAAAAGATGTAAACAGAAACTATGTTAAAACGGGACTATTCTCAACTAGCGGTGGGAACCACCGCTGCAACTCCTGTGTAGCCAGGATCTACACAGCTTGACCACCGCTAACCCAACCAGTGAAGGTCAAGTTTGTCCCGGGGAAAGTTAAACTATTCTAGCACACCTTAACAGTAAATGGATGTCTCCCGCTTTAATCCAGCTGTCTTCTTCAGGGCGTGATCCATTGAGCAGGAGGACAAAGCGACCCTTGTCTTGGGTGTACTCTTACTCTTTTTTCGAATCGACTTACTGTAAACCGACGATCTGGTGGTGATGTCGTAAGTTGGAAGCACCTGGATGCAGCGTAAGACCGGTCGTTGTAATCCTTGGATAAGGCTTTTGTCCAATAGTGGACGTGTTTTGTTTGGAACAAACGATACATTTTAGAAACACTTTTGGTCTTCTGCCGAAGGACTACAAAGCAATGAAGAACCAAGCTGTTACTGAGAAGGAGATTTGAAGCAGTAACTGTCTTGAGAAAGATAGTTAACTGCAAGATAGAGCCGATAAAATACAAACACGACAAGTCCACTTACAGCCATAAAAACTGGCTATATGTTTAATTAATACAGTGCACGCTTGAAACGCTTCGTTAGTGCAATCGGTTACACGCAAATTAGAGCGAAGTGTGTGAAATTATTTAACACAGCTTACGCAATGTTTGCCCCCGCCATGATGGTGTAAGTGTAAGCACAGTTGACCTTCAATGCAGACGTGAATATGGACATAAGTAGGTAGTCTGTGCTCACAAGAGCCAATTACTAGTGAATAACGGGACTATTCCCACCTCTCGTTCCCACCGCTGCAACTCCTGTATAGCCAGGATCCACAGCTTGACCGCCAATAAAAACCCACCAGTGAAGGTCAAGTTTGTCCTGGGGGAAAGTTAAACTGACATTGGACTCGCAACGAAATTAATCAGAAGACCATTTAAGTGAAGGTTTGAATTCCCTCCAATGTAAAGCGGATGACAGGTTTTTACTAGTGATTAGTAAACAAAGTGAGCATAATAAACTATGAAACGTGTAAAAGTGGCCAGATTCTGTCTTCTCTAGATTTTAGAGCTTTTCTATAGCCACAAAGCCTTACCCAAAACGTTGCAATGTTGCAAGCCCATAACTATGACAGTCATAGTTATGGGCTTCTTCCATTTCTTGGCAATTCTTCTCTAGTTCTTTTATCACATCGTCTAATGATATTCGTAGCCGTTTACTTTACTTCTTGACTTCATGTGTCTTTTATATTGTTACGGTGTTGTCGTTAAAGTATAATAATTTTCTTTCACCTCAATTTATTAAGTCTTTGTTTATACAAACAGCAAAACAAACTGACCTAAACAACTGCAGATGTCTTGCTATCATTTTGGGTCAATAGCCAATCTATTTTGATTCGAATAATGGAGATTTATACTAACTATAGTTATTAGATTTATGTCAATACAATTGGTAGAGACAGCTTGACGCACCCTAACGTTAGTTTGGTTTGTAAATGCGTGGGGAGAACTAATTTGATTATAGTTTTTGGAACTTCGTGAATCCAAGGTCCACTTATCTTGATTGTTCTTTAAATAAATCGGCCAAATATTTGCCTATCCATAACTAGTAAGGTAAATGCGGAAACAACTCTGTCTGTCACGTTTTTACTAGACAATTTGGTTGAATTTTGATATATAACTAGAGATCGATGGGACCTAGATAAAAGCTCCTAATCCAAAGGAACCTAGATAATAAAGGGGTTAATAAAAATTTACTATGCAGCATCAAGCCTCTTTCACATTTCTGGCCAGGGTAAAGGATTGTAAGCCAAATCCTCCATTTGCCTAAAAGCTAAATTAGAGAGTCTCGTGCTCCTGTAGTGGAAACTAAATGAGCTGATGATGATGATGAGGGAAACTAATTTAGTTGAATTTAGAGGTGATGATGATGACGCAGCAATATTAACCCAACAATTAGTTACTTGCTACCAACCGGGCGATGTGGGAATCATTGGGAGGAGGCCTGTGTTCAGCAGTGGACGTCCTGTGGCTGAAATGATGATGATAAATAAGTTGACTAACTCCGCAATATCCAAAGCCAGTATTATGTAACATCAATACATACCTGACATATCCATAGAGAACGCCATAGTTTACGTAACGCGCATGCGCGAGGTCAAGAAGCGCTTGACATTATCGTGTATAAACAAATGATATTTTTGAACGCCGCCCGCGCAGATATTTTTGTCTTGGACCTAGGAATGCTAGGAATTTCTGATGTTAGACAAATTGGAGCCAGTAGATTCGCATTTTTGTATAAAAAAAAGCTTGAAACTCAGCATAGGGCACACTGAAAACCAGCGTCGTGGCTTTCCTCACCGTGGGTCACGGCATAATATGATGAGTGGGGTGAGAGGTACCTTGGTTTTTAATGGGTTTCTGCCAAAAGAGCCCCAAATAAGTCTTGAAAAGTTGTCTTGGAGTTACTGGTGTCAACTCAACTACTGATAGTGGTAGGGTAATCCCTACCTAATTAATTTCGTTACGGGTCCAATGACAATTTAACTTTCCCCCGGGACAAACTTGACCTTCACTGGTTGGGTTTTTGGCGGTCAAGCTGTAGATCCTGGCTACACACACAGGAGTTGCGACGGAGGGAACGAGAGGTGGGAATAGTCCCGTACCCTACCTATTTTATGACGGGTAAAAATATTCAAATTCAATCAACCATAGGCCTGTTTTAATCTAGTTACGGTGTCGTTTCAATTTAGTTTTAATTTCACAAGTGTTTTAACTTTAATCTTAATTTTAGATTTAGGAGAAACTGCATAGAGTCACAAATATATCCGCTGTTTAGTCTATAATTACTGATCTATTTTGGTGCGATGCTGTGACGAAATATAGGAACTTGGCATGTGGGGCGACGGGATATTTATTGCATATCAAAGCTTTCTCCTCGCCAAGAGTTGTGGATGGATAAGGTAATAAATAATTTTCGTCTTCAGAGACTATAATACAACATCCGCCATATGTGTCGTAAATGCAACTTTTCACGACAGCTGTGCATTGAAAAATATTCCAAATATCGTTTGTGGTTCTAAAAATTGTGCAATAGGTAAAGTAAGAACTAATAAAATTCATATTCACAACTGCTTTCGAGTTGTGATTTTAGAAAACACTAATAATAACAAAGACGAAATTAAAAAAAAGAACTGAATCTTAGGCTGATGAGTTGCACCACCTAACTTTAACGTAACCGGTGTTTTATGTATGGAGTTTGACAGATTTTTGACGTTTGTTAAAGTAAGACGGTGCAATTCAGCCATAACTACTCGTACTCGTAAGTTATTCTTCTTCTCGAACTAAAGGCAGTTTGATTTTTCATGTTATGGATTTAATATTTGTGGTCGTATAACTTGTTTTAAATAAATATGAGTCATCTAGATTTACTAATTTTATGCAGTTTATGGTCGTAATGTATGAGTACTATGTTAATGTGTAAACAGGTGCTTTTACACGTCTTTAATAATTCCCATCTTGATAATATCTTTCCATCTTTACGTCGAACGCTGATGTTTAATTTCAAGGAACTTATCTCAGAATATTCTTACGCTGAATTTACTTAACGGCACTTTTTAAGCACAAACACAGACGTTAAACTCTGTTTTATTAAAAAATAAAACCAAACAGAGTTAATGCATTTTGCCCGTTTCATTATTTTTATAACGGTTGCATAACCGTTAGAACCTCTTCCTTTCATCCTTATTCGATAATAGTGGTTCGAATTTTAAATTTGAATTGTCTTTCAGAGCGATGATCCCGGCGATGACGTCTCGCTGCCCATTGGTCGTCGGGGGCCCGTGATGGCGGGTGCTCGCCTCTGATTGGCTGAGCGCGGCGAGCCTGGCCCCGATTGGTGGAAGATGTCGGGGCTTCCAGCGAGGAGTGAGGACGCTATCAACGGCGTCGATGTTAGGGAACAAGGAAGCGCTTTAAGGTTAGTAGGGTGACCTCAATTATACCTACCTAAAGTTTTATTATCTTGGAGTAGTTTATTGAAGACGCTCATCTGTGATTTTGGTTTCAAGTCCATAAAAACAATACAATGAGCAGTGCCGATGTCTTCCTAAAGGCATGGTCTAGTCTAGGTAGATCTTTTAGTGCGAACAGGCACTTACTTAACGGATTTGTGTCTTACTCTGTATCCTATGTAACACACTTAGGTAACATGTTATTCTTTATGGCATTGATGACAGCCAAGTCTCATAAAAACTCTTATATCAAATAACATCCAATATAACCCAATCAAGCTAACTGCGTACCTCGCTGGAATGCGACTCCCTCGCACCAGAGCCAGGCCTGGCTCACTACGCGCGGTACATCCGATAATTACCTACAGCGAAGCGCCCCGCCGGCGGGTATTATATCAGTCGAGTGTCACGCGCGCGCCCGTCAGGACGCTGGCGTGCGTTGTAGTATGATTATAATTCTATGATCGAAGTATTATTTAAAAATGGACATAAAGAGAAAGAAATATTGTGCGGCGTTCGGGTGTTTAAATTCGAAAAGTAATCTACCGGATTCATCTTTTTTTTTTCGCTTCCCAAAGATGCTGAAAGGTATGTTGGCCATGTAGGTAATCAATAATTCTTAGGATAGTATAGGAACCTAACCTACTATGACTACTGCTCAGAATGCGTTCGTTCGTTTCAGCCAAATGACGTCCACTGCTGGACAAAGGCCTCTCCTAAGGTTTTCCATAATGAATGCATACTTACCTACATACGTACCTCATTACAAATAAGTAGATTAATTATTTTTTCACTAGACAGCAACCCTAACAGCGTAAGAAGAGTTCAGTCAGAGGCACGCGATAGAAAGAGACAAAACTTGTAGGTGAATAAAATTGTAGGTACGTAGTGCTGTGCGAGCTGAATTCCACTGTATCGCGTCGTAGCAAGACTCGCATTTGTTTAAATCGCCTTGCGGATCCTTCTGTACCTGTACTATTACTTATTCTGTGCCAGAGCGTAGATGTGACGTCACGGCTGCCAGGTACGCAGTTAACTAGATCGGGCTGTACAAAACCATTTTTAATTATCTCTTACGATACGATATTTAAAACATAATTGCAAACGATGACTCACAACCGATGACTTGTAAATCCTCCATTTGCGTATAATTGCTAGAATTATCTTTTTTGTTCTTCAAACTAGTTACGTTATGTAACCGCCGTTTAAACAATTGCTTATGAATGCGTTTATTTACGAAGTTTAATTGTAACCACTCGGCGAATGAAAATGTGTTGGAAGGATTTCTGAAGTCGGAAATTCTTCGATTAGGTAGGCTTTTTTCTCCCTCTGTCCCCCACCTATTGGACATAGGACGATAAGCATATGTATTCTTTGCCATAAGTCACAACCCAAGTAGGTATTTGACTGCAATTACTCCTGATGTTAAGTGAGATGCAGTCTAGGATAGTACCTACATACCTGCCCTATTGTAAGTGACTATTCACTCTAGTCTTGAAGAGACCCGGATTGTAGTGCTCGGGAAAGACCAGCAAAGAATGGTCACCCATCACACTTAATTTGCCTCCAGTGGGATTCGAACCCGAAATCACAACTAATGACTAACGTTGTAGTCGTTGGCAATGTGATCATTCATTCATTCGATTAATATATCTGTTACGGTTAATGTGATAAATTGAAAATTATTAATAATAACCGGTTATTATGAATAATTACCGACAGTCGCGGTAAAAGTGATAAATTAATCACATTTAACAGTGATTATTTAATAATTCAACCTTAGTACTAACAAATTTCATAAAAGAGAATAACATCTTGTGTACGTGCTCGTGTGCTGCCAAACTTTTAAACGTTTTGATATCATATATTAATATAATTTGGCATAATGAGTTTGGAATGTTTCTTGCATAATATTATTTTTCCATGATGCCTATAACATAATGTTTTGATTTAAAGTGAAAAATAGGTTAAGGTGCGGCGGGGGTGGCCCTTGGGCCACCCCTAAGCCGCCTATTTAGTTTTATACATGTCGCAGGCAAATTGNTAACCCTGGGCTCCGGGAGGGCTGGGTCAGATGAGTTCCCTTGTTCGGGGAACAGGCTCTCCATAACCTGTCGGAGAAGGGCCGGCTCCATGGTTTCCGTGACGGGCGCTGTTTGGCTGCGAAGTTTGTTACGCGCAGCACGGTATGGGCGCCCCCACGGATCCGCGTCAAGCTCCTCCAGCATGGAGTTATGAGCCTCCGCCTTGGCCTCCAAGATGGCGATCCGGAGGACTCTTCTAGACTCCTTGAACGCATCGTAGAGTCGGCCTTCTTCCTCCGGGTTGCGGGTTGCGCGGCGGCGGTGGCGAGTGTACGCCCTCCTAGCTGCATTGCTGGTGGCCCGGAGTTCCGCTATCTCTTGGGTCCACCAGTAAACTTGCTGTCGGTTCGGCACACAGCGGACTCTCGGCATAGCCGCGTCGCAGACCGCCACCAGCGCTGCGCGGAGTTCGGCGGCACCGGTGTCTGCATCCGGTGGGGGAGCTCTCCCTTTTGAGCACCAGGCCTGGACAATAGCGGCTTCCTCGGCTTTTTCCCTATCCAGCCTGGTGATGGCCCACCTGGGATAGGGCGAGCTATCGGATCGACGGGGAGCGTTGGGGCTCGAGGAGGGGGAGATTTCAAATCGGATATACAAGTGGTCCGAGAGAGTCTCCTCCTCCATTACCCGCCAATTGACTACACGGCGTGCCGTCGCAGGGGTAGCGAAAGAAACATCCACCCTTGAGTTGCCCTGCGGCCGCACGCACGTGTAATCTGTCCCCGTATTAAGGACCGACAGCCCGACCTCCGTTGCCCAGTCCTCGAGGGCCCTGCCTCGGACGTCGGTGGTGTTCCCGCCCCAAGCCTGCGATTTGGCGTTCAGGTCGCCCATAAGGACAACCTGATGCGGCGCAAGCCTTTGGACTACCGGCCCATGTCGCAGGCAAATTGTATGATTCCGCATTTTACAAACGGCGTCGTCAGTTTACAAACGCTCGCTGTTCTATGAAATGCCGAAGGCAAATTGGCGACTCGTTCAATTGATAAAATTTCGACTATGATTGTTGCAATAGGGTGACCATCATAAAACACATGTTAGACAAATCAGACTTAATTATAGATATCAGGTAGGTATCTATTCAGGTAAGACAAACCTAAGATACTTGCTACTCCTAAAGTAATTAAAATATTTTCGTAATAAAAACAACACTAAACTAATTTAAACTATTGACGTACGTACCTATAGGTAAAACTATGACATACAATAAGTTTCGATAGTCAGTCCTTTAATTCTTACATTTTAATTATACCTAGAAGAAGTCTAGAAGACAACACAATATTTTTTTAAACCAATAATATTCCGCAGCAGTCCACCACCAGTCCGAGCACCAGATTCCATTGTCACCTTAGCGTTTTTTACGTGCCGGATAACCTCAAAAACTATTTCATTTTTCCATAGCTTTTTCACTGCTCCTATTTATGAATCGTAAAATATTTTTAATTCACTAAGTATAATCAATGTCTTTTTATGTGAAAAGTCCTTTTAATATGTAGAATTTGCACTGTTTTCTGTATCACAACACCACGACTCGACGCCATTTTTCTTGTTTTAATTAGCAGCGCCTCGCGTGGTAAGAAAAAGAACTAAATACTTCAATTTGCCGCGGCATTTTGTAAACAGCAATTGAATTGGCTATTAAATGTTTTGGCATATTATAAAGTGCCCAGGCAATTTACATTTTGCCTTCGGCATTTCATAGAGCAGCGAGCGTTTGTGAACTGACGACGCCGTTTGTAAAATGCGGAATCATACAATTTGCCTGCGACATACACACAGAAATGACCTCATATTAATCACATTTACCAAATCATGCGGTAATTATTCATAATAACCGGCGATTATTCATAATTTTCACATTTATCACTTTGACCGTAACATACCCATCGGTACAAAATCAACGTGACTGACATAGCTCGCAGAATTGCTAAAATCAATTGGCAGTGGGCCAAGCACATAGCTCGTAGAGACAATGGCTGTTGGGGCAGAAAAGTTTTCGAGTGGCGACCACGGGCCGGAAGACGTAGCGTGGGCAGGCCTCCCACTAGGTGGACCGACGATCTCTGGTGAAGGTCGTGGGAGAGCCTGGATGCGGGTGGCGCAGGACCGGTCGTTATGGAAATCCTTGGGGGAGGCCTTTGTCCAGCAGTGGACGTCATTTGGCTGAAACGAACGAACGAACAAAAACAAAACTTATGGTGTCCCTACTCTATAATCGAGTATGTGTTTTGGGCTAAAATGGCATGCATGATAGCCATTACAGTGACGTGGGCAATAAGTGACAGTCATTATGACATTAGAACTTATAGCTCTATTTGGGCAGCCTTGGGCCAATGGCATTAGCTTGTGGGTTTTGGGACCCAAAGGTCGGTTATTAAAGAGATTGGAATGACCTTATTTAAATTTGAGTTATTTATCTGTGTGTAGGCCCTTTTCAAGGCACTCGTACACACGTTCTATGTATAGTTTGCCCTACCACCACTTCAGGACAACTATAGGCTGGTGCTGAGAAGAAGTCGCGGAAGAAATTCAGTCACCTTTGTTAGCCTCTTGGCTAATCTAAAAAGATGAATCAGGATTAAGAATAAGTCCGTATTATCTCGATGCAATTTCAAGCATGGTTAGGTTGAGTGTTTTTGATTGGTTTAATTAATGTCAATATTTTGAAAAATCACAGGAAAGAATCTATGACTGAGAAAGCATCCAGAATTGAGCGTTCTGTAATACGGACGTTTAAACCTAAAAGTGCGTAAAGAATATTAGAAATTGATAACGAAGACTCGGTAAGCAAAATATAAAAGTCTCGAGTCGAAATTTGGTCTTTTTTCTATACATAAGGGTCTAGATTGAAATAATATCTAAATTTTTTTAGTAAGTATAGC